TAAGGTACATGTAGGAAATGCCTAGTTGTTGAACTAGCCAAAATATTTTTTTAATCTATTTCCCAAAAAGATAATTAAAGTTCTTAAATTGATTATTTATAAAGAGAAGAGGTGCTTATGTTAGGGAGATAAGCCATATATTTTTAGCAGCTTATCTCCCTTGCTATAAAATGGAGGAAGCTTAAATTCACTATCCACTAATTACCGGAGAGAACACTCATTTTCTTTCTATCCTCTAATAGACTGAAGAGTAAGTTCTGGTGCCAGGCTTTTCTTTGCTGACCTGGGCAAGCAGCAATAATGCTTTTTCTGAAAACTGCTAGGTCTGATCTAGCTGTTGCTTTATGAAGGGAGCCCCTTTTCCCAGGCTTTTCTTGCAGTAGTTTTGCTAGAAAGCTCCACTTGTGTGTGAGCCTGAAACTTGAAGAATAATTTTAGTATTGTTGTTTAATTTAAGAAAATCTGGTGTCCAACGTAGCTATATTGGTACACGTATCTATCTGAAGAGAAAGAATGAAAAGCATGTATAGGATAGGTTAAGTGAGTACCGTGTCTTCTGAAAACCTTGGGCTTAAATGTCTAAGGCAGTTCTGTTTAGATCTGAGCTCAAGAGTGGACTTGCTGGACAGAGCGATAGTATACATTGTTTCATTTCTCCAGTTGGGGAAGCTTTCTCTTAATATATGGAGACCCCAGAATACATAAGTGTATTTGTAGTAATTGGAATTTTAATACATGATCTAGGGGCATCTGGCTGGCTCAGTTAGTAGACCATTTGACTCTTGATCTTGGGATGGTGAGGTCAAGCCCCACACTGGGTGTAGGACCTACTTTAAAAAAAAAACAACAAAGTGATCTAATAAGTATGTATACTTTTGACTTGCTTTTGAATTTAGTTGTTTTTAAAAAAAGTGGAATTTCAGGGATGCCTGGATGGCTCGGTCAGTTAAGCATCCGACTCTTGGTTTTGGCTCAGGTCATGAATTCAGGGTCCCTGAGATCTAGCCCTGTATTGAACTTAGTGCTGACAGCACAGAGCCTACTTGGGACTCTCTCTCTGCCCTTCCCCCCCACCCCCACTCTCTCTCACTCTCCTCTCCAAATAAACATATAAACATTAAAAATAAAGTGGAATTTCAAAATATGAAGTAGGGAAGAGAACACCACATAGGTGTATAAGAGCAGCAGTATCTGATGATACAATGAGCATACAAGGAGACGTGGTTAGGATTGCACACACCGAGAGGAGAGTAGCACAGCAGTGGTAGGTTCATGTGGGAGGGTGGGGATATAGTGCACAAGCAAATGGAGGGCCCCGGAGGCTTCGTACCCCTCACATTCAAGGCACTCTACTGGATAACCCTTGGCTACCTTTTGTGACTTTTCTCTTACCGCAGCAAAACCTAGAAAGAATCTCTCCAGAGGGTTAAATGTACCATTACGTGCATAGTGATGCTAACCAGCTGTGCCGCTTGGGGTTCAACACCGCAAGCTGCCCAAACAGTGGGAAAGGCCAAAGGCTCCCTGGGGTTTCAGAACTGACTGGCAGTCGGACCAGAACCTGCAGCAACAGCCACACTGCAGGAAAGGTTGGCTTAGCACCACCTGCTGCCCCGTTCTGAAGAACGGCCGCCTTTTCCTCAAGCCCTTGTGTGACTGGGCCCTCAAACTGGTGCCCAGGCGTCCAAGCCTAGGCCATGTGCTTGCCTCGCGCTGTTCCAGGCTCCCGAGAGAAGGATTTGGGTCTGCTAGTTACAGTACCGCCGAGCAGTGGCTGTTTCCCATGAGGGCATGGAGGCTGCAGGGTGCTGTTGGGAAGAGGGTTTGGTTGCTAGACAGCAGAAAGAGAAAACACAAGACCTGCAAACCAGACCGTATCACCTGTATTTATCTGAAGCTCAGTCTCTTTACAAATATGAACGATTTTTCTCAGACTTAGCCTCTATGGATAGATAATATTAATTTTCTTTTTCCGTAATTATTTGTCCATTGTTAAAAAAAACAACACCTCAGGACTATCTTCGTAAGTTTAGTCCATCTTTGTCACAGTTGTGTGTGTGCGTGGCTCAGTGTCCTAGTTCTACCTGGTTTTGCATGATGAGCAGAGTTCTGTGCCCTCTGACTCCTGTTTTCTACTCCCCAGAGAAAACTGTTTTCAATTTCTGGCTGATTTATTTGGTATTTGTCTTCATATTTCTGAGTTGCACACTGTGGCTATGTCTTAATGTTTCCACTTTAGACATTGCTTATCAACTTCCCACTCTGGAAAATGAGTTTTACTCTTCCCAGCACTTCTGCCTGAGCATACATACATGCTCTCCTTCCCCCATCCTCGTGGGATAGCGGTATTGGGTCCACAGCCTGTGTCTTTATTATTATGACTATGTGAACATTTTTGCGATGAAGCCGTGTAGTCAACTATAACTACTCTTTTCTTCCAATACTACCTTTGGTTTTTCCCTGGTGATGATTACTGTCTTGGTTTTTTATTTATTTGCTTAGATTTTCTGTGCTTCTCACAAATTTAACCCCCAAATCTCCCCTAATTGTAGGAATCTTCCCATATAAACACATTCGATATTCAATGAATTTCTTAATCTCTCTCTAGGCATTCTTTTTTTTTTTTTTTTTTTACACATATATTTATTTTTGAGAGGGGAGAGTCAGAGCATGAGTGGGGGAGGGGCAGAGAGAGGGGGAGACATCGAATCTGAAGTAGGCTCCAGTCTCCGAGCTGTCAGCACAGAGCCCAACGCAGGGCTTGAACCCATGAACCATGAGATCATGACCTGAGCCAAAGTCAGATGCTTTACCGATTGAGCCACCCAGGCACCCCTCTCCCTAAGCATTCTGACCTGTTCTTGTCTGGACCCTTGACCAGTTGCCCTCCAGACCCACTAAGGAGCTGTTGTTCTGGGGTCTCTTTCACAATCATTTGAGGACCTTCACCTGTATCTTGTTTCAGATCCCTTGCTTCCTGGATTCAATATTGTTCTCTTCCTTAGTCTTCACCTGTTACTTTGAAATAGCAGATTACCATTAGTTTCTTGAGAAAGTAAATCTTTTTTTAGTTCCAGGAATTTCCCTGAGAATTTTAAAGTCACTGCTTCATTTTTTTTTTCTCTATCCTTCAGAGTCCCTGTTGAAAAGTGTAATTCATTCTGATTCTTTTTTTCCCATTCTGATTCTGACCTTTTATGTGACAGCTTGTTTTCCCTCTGAAAGCTTCTCTCTAACATTGATGTTCTGCAGATTCTCTCTGATGTGACTTGGGCACTTGCTGGACCCTTTCAATCTGGGACATTTTTGTGAATTAACTCATTCATGACTTTCTCTCCTTAGTCTTTCTCTTCTGTCTTTCTTGAACTGCTGTTATTTAGATGTTGGACCTCTTAGACTGATACCCAGTTTTTGTATCTTTACTCTCCTGTGTTCTATCATTGTGGCTTTTTATTTTTCTTTCTGAAAGAGTTCCTCAACTTTGTCTTCCAACCCTTACATTGAGTTGTTTGGTTCTGCTATCAAAATGTGTATTTTTCTGGGGCACCTGGGTGGCTTGAAGTTGAAGTCAGACACTTCAACTCAGGTCATGATCTTGTGGTTTGTGAATTCAAGCTCCATGCCGAGCTCTCTGCTGTCAGTGCAGAGCCCACTCCGGATCCTCTTTCTCCCTCTCTTTGCCCTTCCCCCACTCATGCTTTCTCTCTGTCTCTCTCAAAAAGAAACATTTTTAAATGTGAATGAATAAACAAAATATTTTTTTCTAACATTATTTCTAACATTTTTCTGAATGTTCATTTTTTCATTGCTATTTATTACTGACTCATTTATTGTATGATGAACAATACAGAAACTAGAAAATATAATTACTTGAAGGCATTTTATGACAAAAAGAGATTGTCAGTCGACTAGCCTCAAAATTTGTAAGCTTGGGGTGCCTGGGTAGCTCCTTTGGTTAAGGGTCTGGCTCTGTTTCGGCTCAGGTCATGATCTCACGGTTCGTGAGTTCTAGCCTGTGCTTGGGATTCTCTCTCTCTCTCCATCCCTCCAGTGCTCTCTCTCTCTCGCTCTCTTTCAAAATAAATAAATTTAAAAAAAAATTGTAAGCTTGAGCCAGAGAAAATCACCTAAAATATACAAAATTCTATTGTATATAATTTTTAGCGACCATAAGGGTTATGTTATCTCTGGCTGTTTTGTTTGTTTTTAATGTATCTTTTTAAAAGTTTGTATCTTCCTGTATATTCTCTTTTTTCCTCTGAGTTGCTTTTTTCTCCCTATTTTGGTCTATCTTTCATAGTAAATGCTTTCCTCAATTTCTGGTGATCCTTGGCTATTTTCTGATATTGAAGAGCAGGCCACTAAACAGGTGCGTGAGAGCTCTGGACTTGTGAGTAAAACTTACAGGCTGTGAGCCTCACTGTGGGCTGGGGTGGTCTGCATGCGTACTGGTATACCTGTCTTACCTTTTTCTTTAGGTCTGTTTATTTATTTATTGAGACCACACAAGCAGGGGAGAAGGGCAGGGAGAGAAGGTGCAGAGAGAGAACGAATCTCGAGCAAGTTCTACGCTTAGTCCCACCATCCCAGGATTGTGACCTGAGCTGAAATCAAGAGTCAGACCCTTAACTGACTGAGCCACTCAGGCACCCCTCTTTAGGTCTTTTATCTTGGCTGGTCTGATTCTGTTGGAAATTTTCTAACTTTGCACTATTTATTTTCTACCACTTTCTTGCAATTTCTAGGTGTATATGGTCTTTGGTTCTTATGTTGTAGATAAAAATATCTCCACTGGGTCTCTGCTAAAATCTTTCTTTAGATGTCCTTTAGACCCTCCTGTACTCTTATTTGCTTCCATGGCACTTAGCAGATAGGCCAACTTGCTAAACAGTAAACAGGAGTCAGTAGGAACAGATCTGAGAGCTAGAACACATCTAGATTACAAAGTAAGAGTCACTTTCAGTGCATTATTTTTCCTTAGTATATTTGATCAGAAATTGGATGAACCTCCGGGATGCTGAGACAGGGAAGATACTATGGCAAGGAACAGAAGACCTGTCAGTCCCCGGTGTGGAGCATGAAGGTACTCCCCAACCCTTTATCTGCACAGGGCTCTCATGTTTCAGGAGCAGGGCCCAAGCATCAGGGAGCTGAATTAATGCAGACCCTAATGGGGGGCAAGCCCCTGCAGGCACAGCACATGTTGTTGAACTTCCTAGTTCCTTTCCTATCGTTCTTTCTCTCACTTCCCAAAGTCCACTTTGTGCTGAAATTTTAGCATCAGAACATACCTAAAGATACAAACTAAGATCTCAACTTTGTTTTGTTTTTTTTTTTTCCAAAAGAAAATTTGCCTTTTTATCCCCCTGAAATAAAAGAAAAACTAAGGGGTTAAAACTAACAAAACACAGTAGAGAAGGTGCCTGTTCAGCCCACTTCCTGATGACAGCAGCTAGGGAAGGCCCTTAGATGCACTATATCTTGTGTTTCTTGATGATCTTTCAGTCAGATGCACTTGACCAATTGGGGACCTCTGCCTAAATTAAAAAGTATAATTCTGTTACCAAGGCATCCTCTGAAATTTAACATAGATAATGTGTTCTCTAAATCAGCTCTAAAAAGCTCCCAGAAACTTGAAGCACCATAGTATGTGATTTTCGTTGAGGGTGGCTTCAATATTTCTTTTTCTTTACCAGCCCGTGTTCCCAAGAAAATCCTCAAGTGCAAGGCAGTGTCTCGAGAATTGAACTTCTCTTCAGCAGAGCAAATGGAAAAATTCCGCCTGGAGCAAAAAGTTTACTTCAAAGGGCAATGCCTAGAAGGTATTCTGTGGCCTTTGTGCCTAGAAGCCACACTTCGGGTGACAGGGAAAAAAAAGGCAAGATCCAGGGAACTAAAGCACTGCTTTGGTAACATTCATTTTGCAACTCAATTTGTGATAGGATTCCTACACCCTGCGAGACTCAGGACCCCCAGCAAAAAGAAACAAAAACAAAGCTGATGACAAGGGGCACTGAGCCCAACAAAAGGGTTTCTGACCCTGGTGGGCCTGGGGTTGGTGTCTACTTTGTCACTGGTGAATTGTAACGAGGTCACGAGGAAGCAGCCGATTGGGGCCTGGTACAGTGCTCTCCATACAGTCTCAGGCAGATCTGACTGGCAAGGCCACTCTGCACTGATTTTCTAACCATGGACTGTAAGAGTGCACGTATGTGTGTTAGAGCTGAAATTCCAAGTAGAAGGCCTATTCTGTCCTTCTCTTTATCATTTACATATTGCCTACTTCTAAGAAAGCCTTGCTTATGCTGTATCTGCCCACTGGTCCTAGTGCTTTAGACCCTGGAGCATAGGCAGCAAGCCTCTGGTGGGTTCAGAGGACAGCCTGAGGGGGCTTCCATGTCCTTTCTTATGGCTCTGGCTCCAGAGGTTTCTGATGGCTGCATTTATGGTTCTTGGGGTAAGAAGAGGCTCGCTCCAAAGGGGGGTGGACAAAGAGTCCTGAGACTGTCTGGGACGCCCACTCACCCGCTTTTCCTTCTTCCTTCAGAATGGTTCTTCGAGTTTGGCTTTGTGATCCCTAACTCCACAAACACCTGGCAGTCCCTGATAGAGGCAGCGCCCGAGTCCCAGATGATGCCTGCCAGCGTGCTAACGTGAGTGAGCAGACCACAGGGATTGTGGAGTGTGTCTAGAAGCAGGCGTTCCAGGCAGTGGGGGGACTGGTCAGCAGGCAACCTAGGTTGAAAATAAGGGTAAAGAGTATCCAGAGATATTCAGATTTACAGGTTACTGACTTCTGTCATATGAAAAAGATAGTGTGATCAAATGGAAAAAATATACAACTTTAGACTAAACAACTTTAGATTTAGACTAAATTCCTGATTAACCCTGACTAGCTGTGCAATCTTGGACAATACCTCTGGCCTTATTTTTCTCCTCTCTAAACATAGAATTAATAATTCTGTCTCACAGAGGTGTAGTCCGGACAAAATGAGATGATATGGAAGGACACTGGCGTGTGCTATATATTAAATCTATGCTACTTTGCTCACTTTCCTGACTACCAAACGTCTGATACTCTGTACGTTTCTTGAATAGCCTTTAATGGAGTCTGTCAAAGGTCTAATTTTGTTTTAGAGGATAATCTTTGGTTACAGTTTTTCAGAGACTAGCTTACCATTTTTAATAGCTATGCTTCCTGCTCAAAGAATAATTAGTTTGTCCTTTGTCCAAAACAACTGTCAGTAACAACCCAATTACCATTCTCTCTTGGAAAAAGGTATTAGTCTTTCAAAGGTTTTAGTAATACTGTGTTGTATTGGGTTATTCACACAGATAATCGTGTAATATTGGATTGTCCCTTTAAACAGATCCTTGATGAAAGCCACACTGAATATAGAGGTTGTTTATAAGTCCTTAATAGATTTTTTAATTACAATAGTAGGTGTTTTTATATTCTATTAGCCATTTAAATCTTGAGTTTCTTATGTACCTACTTTATAATTAATTACCAGCAAAAATGTATCTGCTGGCTATTAATTACCCTGGAAAAGTACAGGGTAGTATATAGAAGGGCGTTTTTTATATTTTATTAGCCTTCATTTGACTCCTACTTGACCAAGCCCAATTTTTTTCAGGTACTAAAACCAGTAAGTATATGATGACATATCTAGGTTATTTCAGTCATATTTTACTTTTTGGAACCTAAAATCAGTTCCTCTGTTGCCCTTAACTTGGTTCAAGAGTGCTTTGGTTTGGAAACACTGAGATACCCACCAAGAAAAATGAAATTCCACTCTGTGCAGCAATACAGGTGTATCATTTGGGGTTCTTTGGCTGCAAGCCGTAGAAACTGACTCCAGCTAGCAGGACAGAGCTGAAAGGTGTGGGGTGTCCTGAGACCTGGGCAGCTCAAAAGATGCAGATGGCAGGAATCCGTGGATGATTCCCTTCAGGAGCAGCCATAGGAAGTATCCTGCTCTAGGGAGAGAGTCTGACTGGCCCAAATTATGTCCTATGCCCACCTCTTTGCCAGGTGAAGCGGGGGCTACTTGACTGACACAGACTGGAGATGGTGTGGGTCCCCAAAAGAAGAGCAGAGTGCTGTTACCCAAAGTGATGAGAACAGATGCAGGAAAGGCCAACCCTCAGCTGTCCACCAGAGTAGGTGTTGTAGGGAAAGATACCACCCCTGAGGCCTACAGGTTTCCAAGCGTAACAAAAAGTCAGTTATTTAAAAAAAAAAAAAAAAAAAAGTCACATTTTATAAGCACCCCTGTGTGCAAAGTCCTCTACTAAGGGCTTTATATATATCAAGGATTAAGATATGCTCTCTCTTCTGTTTTCTGAACTTGCAGAAAGTTAAATGTCACATTAGACTTCTAACCCCATTTAGACATAGATTTTAGTGTCCCCAAGCCAAGGTTCTAGGTGGGTGCATGTCCTTGAGCCCAGCAGACCCAAACTGAAACCACTTGGTGAGAATGAAATCTGTTGCCTAACACATTCACTCTTTCGCCCTCTTTTCTTACTTATAGTGGGAATGTTATCATAGAGACAAAGTTTTTTGACGACGATCTTCTTGTAAGCACATCCAGAGTGAGACTTTTCTACGTTTGAGAGAAGAATGTGTGTGCATTTCAAGAATTTGGGGTTTTGGGGAGAAAGGAGGAAACTGTTTACTTTTTTCCTCCACACATTTGGTTTTTGACACTTTCACCCCTAATTCCCTCTATGGCAAAACCCACCTGCAGCCACCAGGGGACCAGTTCTGTGTAGGTAACCAGATGGCTGCTTCCTCCCAAGCTGCCATCTTCCACTGACCAGACTAAACTCCCAACCCCAGACCAGGGTAGAAGGCGAGCCTTGAGTCCTTCCCACGGTGACACAGGGACAAACGCTTACCACGAGAGTGGATGCTCTTCCCACCCCCTCCCCGCCTCCTCCTTGGGCCCTGCAGGCAACACATCTTCCTTTGGCCCCTGGTTTTGGAAAAATTCATATTCCTGACTTATGTTTAGTTTTTTTCCTACCATTTCTATTTCATACATTCTCATACACCTAACTTGTAAAATAGACTGATATTATTATTACATAATGAATTAAAACATATGAATTAAAATATTCCTACAGTCTTTAGCATGGCACTGCTTTCATCTCTACTTTTTCTGGAACATGAACTCGGCCCCATGATGGGAAGAAAGACATTTATCAGACCATAGGATCACCACTATGTTTTACTCCAGAGATCGACTGATAGATCTTGCGGTTCCTGTTGCTTCAGTTGCTGCTTTCCAAGAATGTTACAACGTACCCAGACAAGACCCATGACCTTAACATTTGTCTTTTAGACGTGATATTTAGTGGTTCTCTTCCAGAACATAGATGCGCCTGTTGTTTGTTTGTTGTTAACTTTTTTCATACCTTTATGATGTACATTTGTTCAAGAGATTTCCTTGGCAGAGTAGGGACTCTTATATTCCTAAGTGAGAGAACAGAGGTTACAAAATGGAGAAAAAAAATCTCCTTCGAGTCATGTGGAGAACGATGGGAATGCATCTGGGATGGGGTGGGTGCTGGGAGGCCTCAAAACCCAGTCAAATGGTGGTGTGACCGGTGTGGTGTGGGAGAGAGCGATCATATCTGCAGTGCCTGCAAGTCCGACATGAGAGAGAGAAGGGATCTTTTTTAGGAACTTACCTCTGACCTCCCAGTAGCTTTCACTATCCTTTATAAAATACCAACAATTAAAAGTTTTGCGGTTCCCACAGTAGTAAGGTCTGAGGCCAGAGGGGAGGAGACTACACCAAAAGATGGGCCCTCTGTGGTGTAGCCCCTGCTCCCAGATTCCTCCTCTCCTTCTGTCTGTTGCCGAAGGGTCTGTTTGCATCTGTGGATGGGGAGAGAAGTACATTTTTAGTATACTATTGCCCTGTTTCAGTGGTAATTCTATTCTTCACATTAGGGCTGTTGTCTCCAAAAGCCAATTTTTAAATTCCAAGGTTGGATTAAAACAACAACAACAAAGTTCAAATGAATCCAGGTTTCCTTTTACTTTCTGGAAATACCATCTCTTTTCTCAGAGTGAGAGCTCGTCTCCTTTCCTTTTCCTAAACTGTATCTGCTCCCCATCAAGGAAGGCTCTCAGGGGACTGGACACCTCCCAGTGGAGAAAAGACCATCCCAGGGAAGCTTCTCCACCTGCTTAGAGCCTCCTTCACTGTCAGGGACACACTTCTTTGCCAGCTGCTCTTAAAAAAAAAGTTACAGCCCAGTCCTCCTTAGACTCCTACCATCTCCTCAGGCAACAGCGCATATGCTCAGGCAATGTGGATCATCTTATCGTGAAACAACTAAGGCCAAAAAAGTGTGTACTCCAGGGACAGTGTGATAGAGGGACCGTGCAGGAGGGACCGGAGCAGGCCCAGAGGGGGGCTGCAGCTGTGGTGGACTAGGAGAAGGGGTGAGGAGCACGGGCAGCGGGGAGCACAGGCAGAAGGAGAGGACAGAGCTGCGGGGACGAGGCCCTCGTAGGTTAAAGTCCGCCTTGGTAGAGTGGGTGCAGATCCGAATGCCTGCAGAGCTGGGCCGTCCGTGGATACATCGAAGGCCACAGAACGTTATGAAAGAGAGCATACAGCCCAGGCGTAGCACAGCGTACAGCCACTCGTTCTCGAACATTTACAAGTACCTGCCAGAGACTCTGATTCAGTCGGCGCGGGGCCTAGAAATCCACCTGTTAAAACACCCCAGGTGATTCTGTTGCAGGTGGTCTGTGGACCATACTTTGAGAAGTACTGGTGGAGACATTTACTGGCTGTAAATATGTACAGCCACACAGGTGGCTGTAAGATAAACTAAAGTCTCCAGGCAGCATGCTTGATGAACAAAGGGTGCTCCCAGTTCGGACTTGTGCAGGCAGAGGGTAAGCATTCAGATGCTGCGGGCAATCAAGAGGACCTGAAGAGTCTGTGTAGGTAGGGGAGGAGAAGACAGATGACCTTGGAGAAAGACGTGGGAGAACTTAGAAGACCCTTTCAAACACAGATTTCTATGTAGAAAACTCTGGTTGAGGTTTGCTGCGTTCCTTGCCGGTGTTTTTGGACTTCTGTGGTGGGCGTGTGGTGAAGCACTGAGTCTGGCCCCCGTTGGGCAAAAGCAGGGGGTGCAGGCAGTCAAGTCTACCAAAGGCCACATTAGGTCACACTTATACTCTTACTATATATGTGTGTGTGAGGCACAGGCCTGCCTTTCACGTGCCTCTAGTAGAGGGACGTGACGAGTAGAAGTGCCTGCCATAAGGGAAGCACGGGTGAATTTAAAGGAAGAAGAGATCGGGGCGCCTGGCTGGCTCAGTCGGAAGAGCATGCAACTCCTGATCTCGAGGTTGTGAGTTTGAGCCCCTTAAAAAAAATACAACTTTAGGGGCACCTGGGTGGCTCAGTCGGTTGGGCGTCCGACTTCGGCTCGGGTCATGATCTCGCGGTCCGTGAGTTTGAGCCCTGCTTCGGGCTCTGTGCTGACAGCTCAGAGCCTGGAGACTGCTTCGGATTCTGTGTCTCCCTCTCTCTCTCTGACCCTCCCCCATTCATGCTCTCTCTCTGTCTCAAAAATAAATAAACGTTAAAAAAAATTTTTTTAATACAACTTTAAAAGAAATGAAGGAGAGATAAAAAATAAATGAATAAGATGAAAATTTAAAAAGGAAGAAGAGATGACACACAATTCAGAAAAATCAGCAAAGCCCTCTTCTCTGAGTCCTTCAGCTCTTAACCTCAAAATGTATTCAAGTCACCCTAAAAACCAAGTTTTTAAAAATAACGTTTTCCCTCAGTCCTGCTGCATCCTTCTCTTTCTCTGCAGATGCAAACTCCTTGGAATTGTCTCCACTCCTTTCCACTCCCTGCCTCTCATTCACTCCTCGGCCACTGCTGTCTGGCTCTGGCCCGGGCCTCCTCTCCTCCAGTGCATACTCGAACGCCACTGATCCACTGCCCCCTTCTGGTCCTTCCTGTTCTGTCTCCTGCCTTTAATCCTTTTGACATCTGGAGATTCTTCTGGATTCAGGGAGCCCCTTTTCTGGGAGTTCAGCTCCTTTCAGACTCTTCATTTGCTTCCAACCACCTTGTCCCTAAAATGTTTGTTAGTGGATTTTTTTTCTTTTCTCTTCTTTTCCTTTCTTTTCTTTTCTCTTGTTTTCTTTCTTTCTTTTTTAGCTCTTGAATATCGAGAATATACGATATGCAAACCCTTTAAGCATTATACATTCACTCCACGCATATGTATCGAGCTCTTTTTATATACCAACCACTGTTCTAAATGGTGGAGGTACTTGCTGGACAAGACTAGGGAAGTCCCTACCATTAGATTCTAATGAGAGGAGACAGGAAGCAAATAATTTCAGATAGTGATCAATGCTCTGAAGAAATAGGACAGCGCAATGGCAGCATCAGTCTGGTGTGAAAAGGAACAGAAGACGGCGTTCAGCTTTTGACCACCAAAACAGGCTGGATGAGTCCCCAGCAAGCCAACAGCCTTTGACAGCCAGGCTTCTCCTCGAAAAGATGTTTTAAGTCCCCTAAACGCTCAACAAAGCAAGAACCCGGTATGGTACCCACGACTCTCTAATTTACTACAAGGGACTCCTCCTTGTGAGAGGCATGAACCGGCCCCATGCAGCCTGGTGCAGGGTGGAGAGGAGAACTGAGGACAAAACGGGCCACAGAGGTCCCTGCTTTCCTTCACCACCACCCCCCAGGCTCGGGTGGGACTGGCAGGCAGAAACATCTGCCCAGGTCAGGGAAGGAGGAGAACTTCAGAGCTGATGACCCCTCCCTGGAGGTTAGTGGGGAGAATGGGCTGCCCCACAATTCAGACCAGCCTGTTGACCAGCTTCACAGACATCTTTTCCAGCCCTGCTCCCCGTGCTGTGGTTCCCACAACCACCTGGGGCCTGTGGGGCCAACTGCATCGCCTCCCCTTCTGATTTATCCTTCGCATCACGGCCAAAAAGAGCCCCAAAATGTGCGTCTGGTTGCCAATCCCTCTGTATTGAATGGTTTATTTTTAGAATTTCTTGCTGGTGAGCAGGCAATTGTTTCGGCAGCTTTCAAAATACACTGTTAAAATAGTCCTCACAGTGAAGACATAATCTGCTTAGCAGTTTTTTCGGTGCTTTTATTGGGTCTGAAACGAGCATCTTTGGCTGTAGTTTTGAATAAAACAGAGGGGTGAAGTGGAATGGAGTGAAAAGTAGAGATTTGGTTCCCAAACTGTGCACCGAGGCACCCCAGGGCACTTCAGCAAATTCACAAGGGTGCCAAAGGATATTTTAATTTTCAAAGGAAATGCAACAATTTGGGACATGTGTTGTACACTGGTCACTATGAACTCAAGGCAGTTCGGTTTCAACATCACATTACACCACGTTACATTCTTTTTGAGGAGGTATCTTTAAGAAACCGAGTTTTGGGAAGTTTGGGTGATAAGTAAGCACCCCTTAAAAATCAACGTGAATAGGAAATGAGGGTGGTTGTGTCCAATCTGATTCCAAAGTTTGAGAAGCTGTGCGGTGCTCAGCAGGCACATAGCCCATCAGTAAGTCATTGTGATTACAAATAAAATAAAAATATTTTTTCTCGCAATTTATGTGGCTTTTCTTTTTCCCAGATAATATGACAGCTACTAACTAGGTTAGGATATAAATATTTAATATACTACATAATAAAGAGAAGTGTTGTTTATTTTGGTTTAGTTGCATTATGAAAAAACTACTGAGACACTAAGGATGCTGTGAACAGAGAAAGTTTAAGGACTTTCTAGTAAGCCCTTAGGTGTTCTGTTGTTGTTGTTTTCAGATTTATTTTCAAG